AAAAAAAAAAAAAAGAAAGAAGAGAAAATCTTAAAGATTCCATCAAAAAACTATTAGAACTGTTATATTAATGCAGCAAAGTAGGACACAAAGTAAACGTACAAAAGTCAGCAGTGTTTTTATACACAAACAACTATTTGCAAAAGAAATTAGGAAAACAATTCTATTTGCAATAGCACTGAAAACATACTTAGGAGTAAATTTAACCAAGGAGTTGAAAGGTTGTATGCCGAAAACTATAGAACATTGATGAAAGAAATTGAAGACAAAATAATTAAATGGGAAGATATTCCATGCTCATGGATTGGAAGAATTAATATTGCTAAAATGTTCATACTACCCAAAGCAAACTAGAAATTCAGTGCAATCCCTATCAAAATTTCAATGTTATTCTTCACAGAAATAGGAAAAAGCAATCCTCAAATTCATATGTAACTACAAAAGTCCTCAAAGAGTCAAAGCAATCTTTAGCAAGAGGAACAAAGCCGGAGGTATTACAGTACCTAATTTCAAAATATATTACAAAACTATAGTAATTTAAACATCATAGTACTTGCATAGAAACAGATGCATTTACCAAAGGAATAGGATATAGAGCCCAGAAATAACCTGCAATTTTATAGTCAACCGATTTTCAGCAAAGGTGCCAAGAACACACAATGGGGAAAGGATAATCTCTTTAATAAATAGTATTGGGAAAACTGGCTATCCACACGCAATAAAATGAAACTGAACCCTTATGTCAGTCCATATACAACAATCAACTCAAAATGAATTAAAGCATAAATATAAGGCCTGAAACTATACAACTACTATAAGAAAATATAGGGGAAAACTCCGCAACATTGGTTCGGATAATGGATTTTTGAATATGACCCCTAAAGCATAGGCAACAAGAGCAAAAATAGACAAATGTGACTCCATCAAACTAAAAAGCTTTTGTACAATAAAGGAAACAATTAACAGAGTGAAAGGATAACTCATAGATTGGGGGAAAATATTTACAAATTATACATTTGATAAGGGGCTAATATCCCAAATATAGAAAAAACTCAAAGTAACCAATAACTAGAAAACAACTCTGTTTAAAAATGGGCAAAAGACCTGAATAGATATTTCTCAAAAGAAGACACATACAAATGGCGAATAGATACGTGAATAAATGCTCAATATCACCAATCATCAGGGAAATGCAAATTAAAACCACAATGAGATATCATCTCATATCTGTTAGAATGGCTATTATCAAAAGGATGAAAGATAAGGGTGAAGATGTGGAGAAAAGCGAACACTTACACACTGTTAGTGGGAATGTAAATTAGTATAGCCATTTTGGAAAACAGTGTGGAGGTTCCTCAAAAAACTAAAAATGTAATTACCATATGATCCAGCAGTCTCACTTCTGGGTATATGTCCCAAGGAAGCGCAATCAGTATGTCAGCGAGATAGCTGCACTTCCATGTTCACTGTAGCATTATTCACAATACCCAAGATATGGAATCAACCTTATAAAGTGTCCATCAAAAGATGAATCAATAAAACAGTGTGGTACATATTGTATTCCATACATAATGCAATATTATTTAGCCTTAAAAAAGAAAGAAATTCTGTCATTTCCAACAACATGAATGGGTCCGCAGAACATTATGCTAAGTGAAATAAGCCAGGCACAGAAAGATAAATACGGCATAATCCCACTTACATGTGGAATCTAAAAAAGTTGAACTCATAGAAGTAGAGAGTAGAATGGTAGTTAGCAGAGGCTGGGAGAAGGGTAGACAGGGAAAGGGGAGATTTAAGTCACAGAGTACAGAGTTTCATTTAGACAGGAAGATTAAGCTCTAGCAATCTACCATAGCATGGTGACTACAGATAATAATGTATTTTATATTTTTTAATTACTGAAAGGATAGATTTTAAATGTCTCATCACAAAGAAAGGATAAGTATGTGAGGTGCTGAATATGTTAATTAGCCTAATTTAATCATTCTGCAATGTATACGTGTATCAAAACATCACATTGTACTCCATAAATATACACAATTATTATTTAATTATAAATAAAAACAAAACAGAGTAAATAATCTACTAAGAGTGTCATTTTTATACAAAATAATATGTCAAATAAATAAATATATGATGCTAACTTACAAACAGAAATATTATATAGTTACAGGACTTAGTTACTTAAAGCAATAGGGTTAAGATCTTAACATCAGCAAGAATGCTTTGAAATAAAAATAAAACTACAAAATGGGAAGTGACAGCCAAGCAACAATATCTGGTCGCACTATGTGGGTAATAAGGTCTTTTTAATCCTCACCTGTCTCAAATGTGGCCCTTCCTCAGGGGCTTGTGCTCGTTTGCCCTTGACCTGAGACCTTCATTATGTATTTTGCTTGCTCCCTGGTTTCCATCAATTCTTTGCTCAAATGGAACCCTTATCCGTGAGCCCTTCCCTTACCCGCGTATCTTATAGATAGAATTCTTGCCACCACCACCACCCAGGACCCTTTCTACTCTCTATGGCTTCCTTTATTTTTTATCTACAACACTTACCACCATCTAACTATGTATCTGGTTATTTTGGTTATTTATTTTCTTATTTCCTGTCTCTCTCACTATAATATTAGCTTTATAAAAGGAATTTTATTTTGATTCCTGCTGTATGGTACCAAGAACACTATCCGGCAAGAAACAAGTACATAGTATTTATTTATTTATTTTTGAGAGAGTCTCACTCTGTCACCCAGACTGGAGTGCAGTAGTGTGATCTCGGCTCACTGAAACCCCTGCCTCCCAGGTTCAAGCAATTCTGCCTCAGCCTCCCGAATAGCTGGGATTACAGGCACCTGACACCATGCCTGGCTAATTTTTGTATTTTTAGTAGAGATAGGGTTTCACCATGTTGGTCAGGCTGGTCTCGAACTCCTGACATCAGGTGATTCACCCATCTTGGCCTCCCAACTTGCTGGGATTACAGGCGTAAGCCACCGTGCCCAGACTAAATATTTACTGAAAACACTGCCTAAGAACGCAATTTTGAGGGGTAGAAAACAGTATTCCTGTAAAAGCATATCACTCCAGAGGCAATCCAATCCAATCTACCTTTTCTTTATATTGTTTGCCATAGGTTTTCTTCCAGAGATTCCAGTGGTGATCCAAGGTGGGATCTTGATGCAATTGCGCCACTGCAGAGGAGCACATGAAGAGCACACAAACCAGCTGTTTCACTCTGTGTAAAGAAAGGTAACATAGGAAGTGTAGCTATTAACTGCATTTGTTGTGACCATATTTTTCATAATAGAAAATAACAATGTGAAGTCTATCAAAGGGACAGACTATTATAAATCAAAATTACACAGGAAAATTCCTGGGATACAGTCAGGGGGAATAACTGCAAATTTATGTCTGAAATACTACTTCCAATACTTAATAGCACTTCAAAAAATGATTTCTGGCCAGGCGCGGTGGCTCACGCCTGTAATCCCAGCACTTTGGGAGGCCGAGGCGGGTGGATCAAGACCATCCTGGCCAACATAGTGAAGCCCCGTCTCTACTAAAAATACAAAAATTAGCTGGGTGTGGTGGCGTGCGCCTGTAGTCCCAGCTACTCGGGAGGCTGAGGCAGGAGAATTGCTTGAACCCAGGAGGCGGAGATTGCAGTGAGCCGAGATCGAGCCACTGTACTCCAGCCTGGTGACAGAGCGAGACTCCGACTCAAAAAAGAAGTGATTTCCAGGAGTTTCCCAATATCTGGTAAACCAAACACATCTAGGGAGTTAGAAAACAGGGACTTCCCAGGATTTGCCAACAAATCTAATAAAAGGAAATCTCTCTCTCTCTTTTGGAAAAAAAAATATCCTTAAGAAGAGGACAAACCGCTGAAAACTTAGTTTATCGTCTGAATTTTTGAATACAGGAGCTTTTCTTAACTGACCTATTTAAATATCCACAATCTTTACAGATAGTTAAAAGACAACTCTCATCTATTGCTTTCACATCTTTAGATAGACAATTTTCCTTGTTTTTTTTTCAATGATCAGACATCTGTTTCAAATGAAACAATTAACTACCCTTTATTTTTTATTTTTTTTTCCTCCTTGCTCCTTCCTTAACTACTCTTTAAAATGGCACTTCTATATTTAATTCCAAGAGACTTCAACAGAAATTCAGTAACTAGCTCCCTCAAACTGGATTCTACTTTCTTTTTCATTGAAAACATCTGGAATTTTAAACATGTAAACCTTCAAATTATATTCCAAAGAAAGCCACGTTTTAGCCTCAACTTAGATGCTTAGATGCTCAAGCAGACATCAACTTTTTAAAAATAGAGAAAAGACAAATTGAGTGACACGATTTTTTAGTTTACTTCCTGAGAGCAAGATTTAAAACCTAGAGGGCAGAACAAGCTACGAACACAAACAAAGTGTTTGAAGACCAAATCGGAGAAAAAGAACAGTACATACGTGACAGAACCAGCAGGTGCTCCCATGGTAAGGGTCCTTAACTTGGTGGGCTCTCTTCTAAGATTTCAAAGGCAAGGAGATTTCAGTTCAATTGACTTTAAAAAGAAATTGGAACTTGTCACATGAGGTACCCACAATGAGGAAGTGAACTTTCATTTCAGTTTCGTTTAAAATCTAGCTAGCTCAGTCACCTCTGGTCCTCTCCCTATGGTCTTGGGAACAAAGTGGATACCGTAAGCCATCAAAAAGAGCCCTTGGCAGGGCACGGTGTCTCACACCTGTAATCCCAGCACTTTGGGAGGCCAAGGCGGGTGGATCGCCTGAGGTCAGGCATTCGAGACCAGCCTGGCCAACATAGTGAAATCCCATCTCTACTAAAAATACAAAAAAATTAGCCGGGCGTGGTGGCAGGCACCTGTAATCCCAGCTACTTGGGAGGCTGAGACAGGAGACTTGCTTGAACCCAGAAGGCAGAGTTTACAGTAGCCGAGATGGCACCACTGTACTCCAGCCCGGGCAAGAGTGCAAGACTCTGTCTCGAGAAAAAAAAAAAAAAAAAAAAAAAAACCCTTGGCTAGGCCCAGTGGCTCATGCCTGTAATCCCAGCACTTTGGGAGGCCAAGGCAGGAGGATCACTTGAGGCCAGGAGTTCAAGACCAGCCTGGGCAATATAGCAAGACCCTGTCTCAGTAGATAGAGCTAGGAAATATCTTTTTTTAAAAAAATTAAATAGATCACAAACTCACACTAATATTTCAACTTCAAATTCAAGATTATAGGGTTTACCCAACCCCATCAATCTTGAACTTCTTTTCAAACATGCTTTAAAAATCTGAGTTGTCTGAAGTATCAACTCAAGTACTTCTTTAATTTATCCTGTAAAATTGCAGGATAACAACAAGCCTACAACCAATAAGAATATTAATGAAAACAAATTAGAGAGTTTAAATGGGAGGGGTACATTAAGCCATATTCCACTAAGGATGTAAGTCAATTACTGTGTTCTGAAGTCACCTGAAATAGTTCCCTGGGTGGTTATACCACCACTTCCACACAACTAGGTTTATTTGGTTCATTTCACTTTTTCCTTTTAGGGATTGCTTTTTACACTTGTAATTTTGTTTTATAATTATGTATAACATGGGATCCAAAGTGAAATCAACACAATGAGGTATATTCAAAGAATTCTATCCTCTCTTTTTGTCTGCTTTACACGATTTCCTTTTTCCCTGGTTGGTAATCATTTAAACAATTTATGATTTATTGCCCATTTAAAAATATGCGAATATACCTATATATTGATACTCCTCCACTTTTTTCTGTACTCCTCCATCTTAAGTGAACGCTAATACACATACTTTCCTCTATCTTCTTTTTTCACTTAAGATTTTTTTCTTTATTTCAGTCAATCACTTAACATTTAATTAAGAAAAATTATTCAAGAGAAAGAGATTATCAGGTGTCGTTTCAGTGGTGTGCTGGGAATTATTTAGTGAACCTTTACAGGAATTGTTTGATTCTTTTTAGAGTTAAGTTGTAAAAAACTGATAACTATGCAAATGATCCCTATACAAGGCAATGCAAATAAATTTTGTGTTGTAGATTTTGCTGAATAGAGAATATAGACCTCTAATTCTTTTTTTTTTTTTTTTTGAGACACAGCCTCACCCTATCACCCAGGCTGGAGTTCAGTAACGCGATCTCTGATCTCGGCTCATTGCAACCTGCACCTCCTGGGTTCAAGCATTCTCTTGCCTCCTCCTCCTGAGTAGCTGGGATTACAGGCATGCACTACCATGCCCAGCTAATTTTTGCATTTTTAGTAAAGATGGGGTTTCACTATGTTGTCCAGGCTGGTCTTAAACTCCTGACCTCAGGTGTTCCACCAACCTCGGCTTCCCAGAGTGCTGGGATTACAGGCATGAGCCACTGTGCCTGGCCTCAAATTCTTATTTGAACTAATTTTAATCTTACTGATCCCTTATTAATTAATGAGTTAAATAAAATCTTTGACATGTTCATTGTATATTTGTTATAGGAGTCATGTTCTCAGCTTTTTAGAAACTATAGCAATTAAATTCTGATAACTCCACCGTAGTATACATAGTGTTCATTTATTTTTATGGCCATGTAGCATCTTTCGAACAATAATCCTATGTCTGGAGAATTTCCCTCATTATAAATTTTGCTTCTCCCAGTTGAAGCCAAAACTCCATCTTTAAGGCTCCAGTGCAGTTAAGGCACAGACATGAGAACTACCCTTTGTCAGTCAGGCACACCTGTATAGAACATTATTTTGCAAATGGTTGAGGAACCATAAGTATGTAAAATCCTTCTTTTTTTTTTTTTTTTTTTTTTTTTTTNACAAAAATACACATTTTATTTAACTCAAGGATAATATACATAACATTATCCTATCTTTTCTTTCTTTCTTTTTTTTTTTTTTTGAGACAGAGTTTTGCTCTTGTTGCCCAGGCTGGAGTGCAATGGCGTGATCTCGGCTCACTGCAACCTCTGCCACCCAGGTTCAAGCGATTCTCCTGCCAAGTAGCCTCCCAAGTAGCTAAGATTACAGGCGTACGCCACCATGTTTGGCTAATTTTTGTACTTTTAGTAGAAATGGGGTTTCTTTATGTTGGTCAGGCTGGTCTTGAACTCCTGACCTCAGGTGATCCACCCACCTTGGCCTTCCAAATTGCTGGGACTACAGGCGTGAGCCACCATCCGCGTCTGGCCTAAAATCCTCCTTTTGCTGAGAATGGCAGTAGAGCTGTCTCCCAGCAGCAGCAGCAACAGTGGCAGCAGCAGATATTCTAACATCTGGTCCCCAGTGTCACCTGTTCAAGCTGTAGTGTTTATGTCAAATATTGTGTTTGCTTGGTGGCATCACAGGTTGAGCAGGCCTCTCTGCGTGGACTGGGTGAGGTTTGTGGTTACACGGTGAACAAACCTTATGGCCTTTCACAGATTCTTCAAGCTTCCTGCACTTCTTAAATAAACTGTAGTGCCCAGATACATGAACCCAGTAATGACATTCACAGCTGTGCTGAGTTTGGAAAAACAAGGGTGGAGTCTCAGAAGCTAGAATGGGTAAGGTGCTTTTCTCAGGCTGAGAACAGAGTAAACTCAAGAAGAACGCTACTGCGGAACTCTTCATAATTTCAGATTGCCTTCTCTATCCTTCTTTACACATCTGATCTCATACCTGATTTTTTTTTTTTTTTTTTTTTTTTTTTTTTGCTTTTTTATTTTTTTTTTTTTTTCTACCTCCAGAAATATGTAGTTCAATTTTCTTAATGAGGAAATGAGCATAGGAACAAATTTCTTTCCATCAAGATTAAAATGATAGACAATTGTTTTACAAGGTACCATGTATTTTCCCAGTCATTATTTCTCTGTCTGACAGGGTCTATAAACCTACACTCAGTACAGAGCATAACCATGGTGATTAGGCTACAGCGCACCTTCTGCCTCCATTCCTGGGTATTACCTACAGGGAACTGTGTATGAAATTATGTCTCTAGCTGTTTCAGGTAATCCTCTATCAAGTGGGAAAAAAATTCGGGGTTAATTGTGTTTTCTAGTGGTACTCTAAACAGGATTCAGGATGGCAGCAGCCATCTAAATGTCTTCCCTTGTTTATTTCGAAATCCATAATTAATTCCAGATTTACCATGAAACTAAGTTAAGTTGGTCCCAAAATGAAACAGGCCTCTCAGGGACATACCCACCTCCTCCCAGCCTGCCTTTGGACTCAGTAAGTAAGCAGACCATGTCTGTCTGATACACATGACCCCTGGTTAATATGTAGGTTGTAGAAGAAACCAAAATTTTACTTAAGGAAGGCAGGGGGAATAAAAATGAATTAGCTTTTGTGAGAAAAAGAACAACTGACATATCAACTGCTATTGTATTTTCTGTTGTCAGGGCGTGGGCTGAGTAAAAAGCTTCAAAGCTTTTGCATATGTCTTGGTTCTGCCATCTGTTGGTTATAAGGCCTGGAGCAAGTGAGTTAACATGGCCGTGGCTCACTTCCTATACATAAGTGAGAAAATTCTGACTCAGTGGCAACTAAACAGCGGAAGACACCAGCAATAGAATGTAATTATAATGTCGCTCCATGAGGTGGTAAGATTTGACGCTTCCGGCTAATTATTCCTAAGTCCATTCCTTTTGCAGAACAAGTTTCTAATAAAGTACTCAACATTAAGATAGATGATTATGAGCAAGTGCTACTATGTAGGGTATTCATTTGAAATATGAATACTCCTGGCACTCATTTGTTAATGTTCCATTTGGTATCTTTTTGTCTGTGGGATTGGGGGGGAGGTCTAATTACTACTGCCTGAACAAAAACAGCAAGTATTTTCTTGGAGGAAACAAAATCTTATTTAAAAACCTTTGTTAATTATGTAATTTCTCAGCATTGTTTTAGTGCTGTGGAAAGCACAATACTGATTCTTGGCACAATCTCAGGAGGAGGGATTGATGGCATGAGGTAACTACAAGGAGCGCTGAACTCTTTTTTTATTTTTATTTTTTGAGACAGAATCTTGCTCTGTCACCCAGGCTGGAGTGCAATGGCACAATCTCGGTTCACTGCAACCTCCACCTCCCAGGTTTAAGTGATTTTCCTGCCTCGGCCTCCTGAGTCGCTGGGACTGCAGGCGCCTGCCACCATGCCTGGCTAATTTTTGTATTTTTAGTAGAGACAAGGTTTCACCACATTGGCCAGGCTGGTCTCAAACTCCTGACCTTGTGATCCGCCCACCTTGGCCTCCCGAAGTGCTAGGATTACAGGCGTGAGCCACCGCGCCCTCCCTGAACTCTTATGAGTCAAGTACTTACCCTCTACACCAGCAGGACTAGCTCCTTTCTCAAATATGTTGGTGTCTTACTGTATAGATAACACAAAAAGTAGGAGGGGATTAATGGAATTAAAGTGTTTAGGTACCTAGCATTATGTTTATTTGTTCAGATGTATCTCAAGCACCTAGAACAGTATCTATCCCTCAGTAAATATTTGATGAAAGAATGAAGGATTTGCAGGAATCTGGTGACCAAAGTTTGGTCACCACCACTGGTGTAAGTTACCCAACTTGGTATCTTGGCTAGTCAGTCAGCTGACATATTTGAAATATTTAAGAAGC